GTTTCAACTGCAATGTGGCCGTGCCGCAGCGCCGTATGACTCTGTAGAAACACCCAAATGCTTGTAAAAGCCTTGAGAAAAGTGTGAATCAGTAACTTCTTTGCTATGATAACTATGGAAATGGTTCAAGCTTTTTTGGAGAGACAGATGGAAATTTCAGGTTGTGTTAACAGCCACGCAGTGCGGTGTTGGAATCCACGTTCACTCAGAACACTTGCTCAAAGTTAGCAAACATTAAAGACACAGAGGTGCTCGTACCTGTGTAAAACTCGTGTCAGGAGTCACCTTCTGAAGTTTGGCATTGTTTCTTTTGAAACAACAATAGTTTTCCTCCCATGAATCTTGTGGGTTATGTGTTGAAATCCGGTGGTGCGGGGGCAGGAGTTGCTGAGGGCCTGGTGGGCTGCAGCGTGGCTCCTGACCAGGAGGGCCCAAAATGTCTGTGTGTTCAGCGGCTCCAGAACTTAGTGCTGGAAATTGATGTAGAGAATTTTTTGAGTTTGTGAACTGAATTAAACAGTTTGAGAGGTTTGGAAGCTGATAACTTGAATTTACCAAACCGTGAAATTGTCAAGGGTTATCAAATCCCAATGAGTAGCGGTGAGTACCCGCGTGTGCGCACCATAGATTTGAATCACATACTCTGTGTCATCCTGTACGGTGGAACCGCTGTTCATGTGTATACAAAGTGATCCACAAATAATGGTTTGAAATGTTGTGAGATGCTTTTGGGTGTGGGGGCTGCAGTTTAAAAATGGGGTTTATTTGTAAAAGCAGTAGCAGACTTGTTTCCAGTTAGTAACTATCTTTGTATTTTGAAGTCTAAATTTTCAGTTTTGCCCGTCGTCCAAAGTATATGGGTTTACAGCTGTGGATCTCAAGCCAGGGGGTGAAGATGAGGTAAGGAAACAACCCACCTTTACAGTTCAAACAGCACTTAGATTTTTACTGTCTCAGAGGTAACTCTAATGCAAAGTGAATCCTTACAGTATTTCTCTCTCGTCTTTGCAGACGGTAACGATGGATAATGCAGAGGAGTATGTAGATCTCATGTTTGACTTCTGCATGCACACCGGCATACAGAAACAGATGGAGGCATTCAGAGGTAATTTTAAATATGACATAATGATTATGCAAATAGGTGGACTAATTGATGTTCAGATATGTGCTGATTTAGAGTGGTGGTATAGACTGGCTTTCAAAACCAAACTTCTAAATTAATCTTGCAGTAGGTAAGATACTCATTTCATAACTCCTTTGCATTAGTTATGCCATTTTTAATCTCGAAGAGGTTTCATTTAACTTAATTAAGAAACTGTTGATTGATTCTGTTTTGATTAAAATACAACTGAAATTCTGACATTATTTTATAAATATTGTTTTGACTTTGCTTATAACTCTGTCTTGTGTAAATTAAAGATGGCTTCAACAGAGTCTTCCCAATGGAGAAGCTGAGTTCTTTCAGCCATGAAGAAGTTCAGATGATTCTTTGTGGAAATCAATCACCTTCTTGGGCAGCTGAGGATATCATCAATTATACTGAACCTAAACTGGGATATACACGAGACAGGTGATTATGTTCTGAGTGGTTTTAAAACAATAGTTAAAAGTTTTAAGTGATGAAATGTCCAGAATATTAATTAGATGAAGACCCCATACTGGATGGGATTGGTGGTCATGGAAGAGCAAGTGATTGTCTAAAACTACATCAAATAACCACGTATGTTACAACAGACAGGTTAGAACTTGGTGGTTTTGTGATGAGAGAGGATGAAAAAATTAAAATCCTAAAATGAAAGAGTTTGTACTTTCATCTGTGGTGATGCTTATAATTTATGTTCAGTTGGGTACAGTTATTATTTGTCCCTTATTTCTTTCTCTTCAAGTGTAATTAAAAAAGCAAATCTAGTAGGCAGGGAGCAAATACACCGGTGAATGGCTGTCAGGAGGTAGTCTCGATGTTTCGGGGTTTGTTAGGTTTGGACTTTGTTGTTGTTTGTCAAAATTGCTATGTTTGGTAGCAATAACGTCCAAATTACTTCTGGAAGTGTGTTAGTATGAGCGTGTTGGAGGATCCCAGTCAGTCAGAGATGCTGCGTGGAGCGATTGCTCTCCTGGCCCTGCCCTGCCATACTTTTATGGGTTTTATGATGTTTCATTCTTAACTCAATATTGAACAGGCACTGGAATCCTACAGTGACTGCTTAGATGTGACTAACTCAAGAGAAATTAAAAAACCCACTCTCTTCTGATCCTGTCATAACTAATTATTTTAATTTATTTCAAGCCCCGGGTTCCTTCGATTTGTGAGAGTCTTGTGTGGTATGTCTTCAGACGAAAGGAAGGCTTTTCTGCAGTTCACCACGGGTTGTTCCACACTCCCACCAGGAGGACTGGCAAACCTACATCCCCGCCTCACTGTTGTACGCAAGGTACGGCTTCTGCGGGCTGCCCCTCAAGCCAGCTGGTTTGGCTTTCGAATGGAATAGTTCCTACATCAAGAAATAACACTGATGGTTTGGGTTTTTTTAATTTTTGTTTTTAATTTATGCCATTATGCTAAGCTTTCAGTACTGACCTCTGTTTCAGGTCTGGTTCTCCGATTTCAATTTGAATAGAAGAGAATTAATGTACATATAAAATCAGTTTAAGTTGCTCTGTAGCTTTCCTGACGCTGCTGTTCCTCAACAGCTGGTGTTACCTGTGCAGGAAATGCCGTGAATTAGAGGATCTCACAACTCCTGGTTTCCGTAGTGAGCGCTGTGAACAACTGGGGTAAAAACTGTCCGTTCCTTTCCCCAGGTGGATGCTACCGATGCGAGTTACCCCTCAGTGAACACGTGTGTGCATTACCTGAAGCTGCCCGAGTATTCCTCCGAGGAGATCATGAGGGAGCGCCTGCTGGCTGCCACCATGGAGAAAGGCTTCCACCTCAACTGAGCGGCCGACCGCAGCGCGGGACAGGAGAGAAGTGGTTTTTGATACTAGCGAAGCCTCTTGTGTTTGTGTGCAAAAAAAAAAAATATGATCTCCACGCTGTGCTCTGATGAGACTTGCCTTTTTTTTCACCTGTGAGGCTTTAGGAACATGTGGAATAAGTTTGTTAGCTGCTAATGACAAAATAAATCCCTGTAACTACACAGCCAGCAAGAAATTGGCACAGAACACTGTGTGATGCTTCAAGGGCTTGCACAACTGGAAATTAAGGTGGTTCTGTTTGACTGTTCCAAAGAACAGATCATCAGATTTTCAGTGTTCACTGATACAAATTTCTAACAGTGTATTTGTGTAAAGTTTGTCATTTAATACCTTGTACACTACAGTTGCCATCACTGATCCCTGTTTTGCTGGCTTTAAGCTAACTGGTCAGAAACTTGCTTCCTTAAAACTTAGAGTTAATGGGCATCTCCAGCTTTTTCTTTTTTAATGATGCCTGCACTATTGGAGTATTTTAGTGGGTTTTTGCATATAACCATGCACAACTCTTTAATTTTTTTTTTTCTTTCAAGTGGGAATATATTTTGATTTCTCAAATGCCCTGCTATAAAGATCAAATCCTTAAGTGTGTTTGTGCAGCTCAGCAGTAAAGCTATTAAAAAACACTGGTTCCTAGTGCAAGGCACACTTAAAGCAAGTTTTACTTTTGGTTGTATTTTCTTTGTATATTATAAACATTTATTTAACTTGTTGCAGTTTGAAGTTTAAAAAAAACCACCAACGTGTAAGCTCAAAAGTAATCATTAAAATGTTTGCAACATATAAAACTGTCTCCTGAATAATTAATCCTTCCTGTGTTATTAAATCTCTGTACGTGTTCTGAACAACATGCCATGCTTTATTCCAGGTTTAAAAGAACTGCATGGCAATAATTGATCTCACAAGCTCATCTCTCTGCTCAGATCTTTTCAAAATCAGAGTGCAGCTTTTCAAGGACTCGTCTGGCAGCGGTAAGCGCGTGTGGCAGTTCCGACTGCTCCAGTGGCCCCGTGTGACCTGAGGTTACAGTTCTTCATTATGCTGGAATAAAAACTGGGTCTGATGCTGCAGCTGATTCAGCTTTTCTTGAGATGGAGCCGCCCGTCTTGGTTTCAGCATGTGGTGAGGTATTTATTGGTTAAAAAGTGGCTTACAGTAAGATAAAGCCAGATGGTAATATGTCTTTAAAGATATTTAAGTACTTGATACCAGAAAAGAAAAATTACATTTGTAGTTGAATCTGTGTAGTAAGTTTTGTTGTGTGCCAGTTCTCTTTGGTTACAGTCTCGGCTTGGACTGTTGCTGAGGGGAGGCTTGCCCTTGCCAAAAGATTCTGCCCCGCACGTTATAAACCAGGTTGATGCCAGATTTCTTTTCACAGCGTTACACACAGGATTTTACAGGCATCATCTTTAAAATTTTCCCCAGTGCAAAACTGAAGGGGAATCTCCACCCCTGCCCTTACCCCCCTTCGGTGACTGTTGTGCTTTAACTAAACATTTGCATAAACCTTGTGTATCAGTGTCTACTCCAGACCCAACGTCAACGTGGTTTTTTGCATGTGTTACTATTTTAAAGGTACATGGACTCTTCTCTCACATGACATTTCCCTCTCCTCTTCCAGGCTTCCAGGTGCAACTTAGATGTAAGCGTTATGTGCTTTCACAGGGAAAGCTCAGTATGGAGCTGTGCCCAGGATTTGGGAGGGTGGAGTTTACGAAGAAGGAGCCAGGTACCTTTCTAGAATTAAGGGAAGTGAAATTGAGCTCAGGCTGGTAATTCTTTGGTGACTGCCAGCGCAGCAGACAGGTGTGAATGGGCATGCTGTGTGCCTGGGAACAGTGTAGCTACATCCATCCCAGCAGGGAGATTTGTGTTGTTTTGGTTCGTAGCTTGTACGGAGAAGCTTGCACATCTTGGTAAACATTTTGATCATGATGCATGGACAGAATATACAGGAGAAAGAAAATACACTGTGGTGCCAATAGGAAAGATTTTGTGTAATTTATGAAGCCAACATGATATAAGATGATCAAACTTTTTATTTTAGTTATCTTTTATTAATGTTATAATATTTAAGTGTCAAATACTTCCAGTTACAACTTAAACAGTATGCAGGAATCCTAACTACATCTGTACTTAAGTTATTTGCATTTCTTCTGTAACCATGACTTACACAAAAAGAGAGTGAAACCAGCTTTTTGATGCAGGCTGAAATTAGTTTAAAAGTGGTCATAAAAGTTACAGAACTTTTAATTTAGAGTACATTTGGATGAAAATAAAAAAAAAGACAAATTGATGCTTAAGTACTGAAACAGTTTGAATTTATATTTTGATACCTTTTGTCTTCTCATAGCCGTGGCACAATGCTGTGTAATCCAAGGTGACACCTAGGTGGTCACCTGTAAGTTTCCATTACTTTATTCCCAGTCAATTTTTAAAAACGTTGACTGTTCTAGAAAGATTTCTGCTGCATCAATAAAGCTGCATCTGAAACTGTGAATATTCCACTTTACATTCAGCTGTGTCCTTCCATTCAGTAGGGAGCGTGTAGGAGAAACAGGAACTCTTCTCCAATATTGGGATGTTGCAGGAGTGGGTCTGCTGACCTCAGGGAACTGCTGGCACCACATGCCCGACCATTTCATCACCTTTTGTGAGATGCTGCTGCAGCCGTCTTGCATCTGCCTTAGCTTTCTGCCACTTTGTCAAGCACGTGCAGAGGGGCAAGAATTCTGGTCCTGTTTGTTTCCACGATGCAACCATTTAGCACCATTTCGTCCAAAATGATGTGCACTCTGTCCAAATTGAACATGATCTAGGAACGTTTCAAGTTAAGTACATTTTGAACAACATGAAGATAATTCAGAGAAAACCTTAGGCACCTTATTCTTTAGTCAAAGTTTAGAAAAATAGATATTTCTCAATTAATTCTAGTTTATTTGGCTGTTTAAGGGAGGTAGGGAAATAGTTTAACTGACACTTTTTTTCTGACCACAGAGATGTCAAAAGTTAGTAGCAGAGAAGCTGAAGGTGCAGCAGTGTCCCGTCCTGGCAGGTGGCCCCACGCGGCAGTAAAAGCAAGGTACACTACAGCTTGGGTGGGGGTGGTTAATTTTACTGCCTGCCTGAGCACCACGTAGTGTTTGAATATAAAATGTTATCAAGGGATAACAGTCTTGAATGTGAGGATGCAAATATCCTGCATTCCTTCTTAGAAAAGTAATTGTCAAATGCTTAAAATATTATTCTCAAACTTTCCTTACCCAAAGTTACTAACACAACTTGATCTGCTTGCAAATAGCTTGAGAGGAACATGCTGATACGTAAAGTTGAGTCATTGATCTAGTAATAAATCTCGTAAAGAAGAGCAAAGGTAAAGAAATGGTTCATACTTTAAATGCTTTCTAAAAATATTTATAATCTCTAATGTTCACCTGAATAACCTGAAACGATATGAGTCTGTACAGTTGTGATACCGGACATTTGTCCATAACCACATCTCTCTCTGCATAACATTATCTAACAGCATCTGTCTCAAAAAACCCAAACCAAGGATGACCAGAGGCCTGACTGGTATTGAGCGGTGAGCTCTCTTCTGCCTGCCTCACTGTTTGGGTGTCCACGAACAACCGCCCAGGGTCACTTAGTGGAACAAAGACTCTGATGTTGCCATTTATCAGCAGCACCTGGGATGGAAATGGATGCAGCAGAAAGCCTGCTGGGGCATGTGTTGTGCCTCACTGCGGTGCATACACAGGGGCAGAATGTGAACGGCCCTCCCTCTGCCTCCCCCTCACCTCCTGCTGCTCTTGAAATGTCCTCTTCGCTGGGCTCAACACATCAGCCTGGCCTTTGCTTTGCTCCTTCTCGTTCTTGCCTGTGTACTGAGAACTGCTGCAGTGGAGCTCGCCAGAAACTTCACAGTAACATCTAAATGCATCTTTCAACACTTTTTTTCTAACTTTGATAAGAGTCTCTGGAGTGCCTTCTCTGCCCCTCCTGCTATTTTTGATGCTATGATTTGAGCTCAGGAGCTGCTCTGGTTTTGCTCTAGTCCTTGTATTTATGTTAGTGGACTTCCATTCTGATCAGTGGCATTGCACACGTGCCAGGTTTTTGAGGGCATCAAGGTTTGCCTCTGCTCAGCATCATAAAGCCATTTTTTTTTTTTTTTTTTTTTTTTAAAACCCAGTGTGCAAGGTTCAGCCAGCTCCGTGTGCAAATTGACGACACGGATATAAAGTGAGGAC